CTTTGGGTAGTATAGACATCTTGACGATGTTGATTCTGCCGACCCACGAGCATGGTATGGTTTTCCACCTGTTTACGTCCTCGGCTATTTCCTTCCTCAATGTTTCATAGTTCTCCCTGTAGAGGTCTTTTACCTCCTTGGTTAAATATATTCCTAGATACTTTATTTTCTTAGTTGCTATTGTGAAGGGAATTGAGTCTTTGATTTGATTCTCGGTATGACTGCTGTTGGCGTATATGAAAGCCTCTGATTTGTGTGTATTGATTTTATATCCTGTTAAGTGTTGATCTTTAACTGTCTCCAAACTTAAAGCGTTAGAAACGTATTCCCCGCTGTGCCAGGTAACCATATCGGAAAAGGATTCATTCACTCATTCTTCTGGAATTTCTTGACAAATCTCCATGATCGCAATACGCTCTAATTTGGCATCAGTCAACCCAAACAATAATTTATTAAGAATTATTTTCTCTTTATGTCAAAGTTTGGCCCTTATTTGGCTAGGAGAGTGAGGCTCCTTCTTAGCGCCTGTCATGCTTCTCCCAAGAAAGGCTGCTAATGCTGTTGCTAAAAATGTGGCCACTCTGATCCAAAGGCCTCCTCCCTGACCCCACATCACCCCTGCAATTCCTGCACTGGTGCCTCTGTGGAACCCACCTGTGTGGCTCTCTAGAGTCAGGAGTCTGCTCTGGTAGGGGGTAGAAATGACAAAAAATGAAAAAGTTTCTGTTGCTGTTCTGGGGAACTCAGGAACCATCCACGGGGCCCTCTGCAGCAGCGTCTGCTCAGCGTGGTGGGAGCTGGGGCCCTCCACGGTGCAGTCGTTGGAGCCACTCTGCCACGTGGGCCTCTGTCTGGTTGGTTTCCCACAGGGCAGCGAGATTCCCATTCAGCCTCTAAGATCAGTTTATATGAGGGGCTAGACACTAAGTTTCTCATACTCTAACTGCGTTTTGGAGGAAAAGGGGTCAGATATTCCCCTTGGCTGTCATAATTCAGACCTAGTTTATTCTTCAAACTCATAAGCTACTTCAGGGCCATGACCTGTCATATGCATTTTTATGTTCCCTGCAGAGCCTGGGACAGCTTGAGTTGTCTCCCTGGAGCTCAAAGACAGGAGGCAACACAGTGTTGGGGCTCAGCGCATGAGCTTGGAAGCGAACCTGTAGGGTTCCACTCCCAGCTCTGCTGTTTAATACCTGGCCTTGGGCACTTGACTTACCTGCTCTAGGCCTCAGTTTCCTCACAAGGTTTCTGAGAGGGCCAAATGAGGGCAAAGCTCTGATAATATTGCCTGGCACATACTAAAGCACTGGATACATTTTTTTTTTTTAACAACAACAAAAAAGTGAAAGTTAGAGACAAAGAGAATCACAGAAGTTATCCCCTCATTTTATAGATCTGGAAACCAAGACAGAGATGTTAGGGGTCTTGCCCACATTCTCCGACTAGTTGGGAACAGAGCCAGATGAGACTTCAGGTCTACCTGACTCCCTGTTCAGTGCTCTTCCTGCTACATCATCCACAGATTGATTCAAAGAAGTCCTTAGAAAAGATAAATATTTAAAGTGATGGATATCCCAGTTACCCTGATTTGATTATATGAATGTATCAAATTATCACCCGTACCACAAAAATATGTACAGCTATTATGTATCGATAAAAATAAATAAAGAAGTCCTTAGAAACCACACAGTACAAATTGCAGGTCCCTACTGGGGGACCCAGAAATGTCCCTAAACAAAGACAGACAAGGTCAGATGCACCCCTGCTCTGCCCAATAGGACTTCTCTTTACATTTTGAAAGTTAATTTTTTAAAAAAAGGAGTTGAAAGCAAATGAACGTACTGGAAGGGAAGGCGGGTGTGGGCTGTTTGTGGGCAGACTGCAGCTGGCCAGCTGAGATTCACGCTCAGACATTCTGTCTCCCACATGCCATTTCAGAGAGCCCCGCGGACGAAGAGGAGCACTGGTCAGATGACTTTGTAAGTACTTGCTCCTGAAACCAGGAGGACACCAGGGCCCCACGGGAGGCTTTTTAAGGACGTATTTCTGAAGTACACGCTGATGGTCAGCTACACATCACAGAGGGGAGGAGAGGGCAGGCCTGGGAAGGCCACCCACAGACAAGGCCCCAGTAGCCTCACACCGGCCGACTTGCCCAGCTCTCGCCACATGCCAGGCTAAGAGCATACGCACGGCCCCATTTAGTCCTCACCAAAGCCCTCCAGAGCAGGCATCCTCATCCCCATTCTCAGGGCTGGTGTTCAGCACGCTCACCAGCACGGCCAAAACAGACGTTAAATGTTTCACTGTTGCTGTATCAGTTGGCAAATGCCTCTGTCCTCAACTCCCCAGTACCCCCTCACTCCTGGCCAGGAGCCCTAAACAAACCAACAACTAAAGAGTCCATGCCTGGCACATCGGGGGCCTCCAGGACCAAGGCATGGGAAGTTTAAGTAACTTGCAGTTCCAAAATTCAAACCCGGGCCCTCAGATATCAGAACCAGGCTCTTTAACACCAAGGTGCTTGCTGTGACCAAGAGAACATTAGCAGAGCTCTGGGGCCACAGAGTGAGAGAGAGTGAGAGACCTGGCCATGACGACATTGGCGGGTGGATCAGAGATAACCTCTTCAGAGTGTCTCTGCAGTCTGTAGGGCCCCTCTACCCACTTCTCTTTTGGGCTGTCTCGTACAGACAAGACCTCCTAAAAACTTCTCTTAACAATAATTATTCTTCACTTGTATCAATTTCATCCAGACTGCTAGCCTGTTCCAATCTGTGAGTTTTATATCTGGAAGGGATCCAAGAAGGCTTCCACACAAGCACACACCCATTTCACAGATAAGGAAACTGAGGCCAAGAGAATGAAAAAGACTCGCCTGCCCTCACTCAGTGACTCAGGGGCCTGTGGAATGAGAACCTAGGACTCAGACCTCCAGTCTAGTGTCCAGCTCCAGGCTGTATACACTTCCTGGAGTTTACAGACAGTCGTAGGAAACAGGAGTTCCTCCTTTTCCAACGGCAGAAAAAGAAAAGAAAAGTGAGGGGAAGGGGTGACTTCTCTGCCAATCACTCAGCATGGAGCTCCTCCCAGGGCCCGGCAGCGGCTGATCCCCCAGAAGCGCTGCAGCCGCGCCCCCTGCTGGCTGTACGTACACCTATACACACACACACACACACACACACACACACACGCACGTACCCACGCACGCACGCACCCTCCTCTAAAGCTAAGGAAAGAAGCTGGTTGGTCCACGTCCAGAGGAAAGAGAGGAAATCTCTGGCTGGATTAAAAGAGCACACAGTGGGGACTTAGAAAACACAAATAGAATCAGCCTGGAGAGGAGGGAATGACAAAGTCAAACAACCAAAATTAAGATATCGGCTGTCATAAGGATTGAGTAAACATCCACTCGATATTATTTTCACTTCAGTGGATCCCCACTGCACACAGGTTGAAATCCAGGCTTGTTCCTACAGCCCCCAGGCCTGTTTGATAAAATCCTGCTATAAAATTGCACGCAAAAGGAGACAGGCCAAAAAGCAGGTGCCTCCTCCATTCATTGGAAAGTCATGTATGGACCTGGCAGGGTGGCAGTTTGTGGGGGCAGTGGAGGCATTGTCCTGGGACATACATCACGTGTCCACATCGTGTATACACAGTGTACACATAAACTATCTCTGGAAAACACGCACAGCAAGTTAGTAACTCTGTTTGCCTCTGAGGCTGGGAAGGAGACCTTACCTTACATCCTTCTGAGCTATTTGGACTTCAGGCCATGTTAATGTATTTTCAATATGGATTTAAATAAAACTTTTATTTAAAAAAAATAAAGAGAATTGAGTGAGTTCACCTGGAGCCCAGACCCTGCAGCTTACCAATTCTGCTTTTAAAAAGCAACTCACCCCCTCAAGACATCGCGGTATCCTGGGTGCACCCCCTCCCCCGTCCACAGTAAACCCACTCTCGCCTCAACCATCGGCATTCATGGTATACAAAACCTACCGGTTATTCTATTTTATTGGGTCCTTTTTCTATCTCAAAAATGTGTTTTATTAACTCCTGCTGTTATTTTTGTCAACAGAGTGTCAGCCCCCTCAGGGTTCAGTAGTCCCCATGTTCCCCAGGACAGCACAGTGGTCGAGGGGGTAAACTTCGAAGGCAGACGTCAAACCCCAGCTTTGCCTCTCACTAGCTGCCTCACCTTGTGAAGTTAACCCCTCCGAGCCTTGGCTTCCCCGTCACTGCATTGGGGGAACAGCTGCGACAGCCTAAGGCAGGAGTTGTCCTGGCCACCGGGCGGCACAGGCAGGGGGGCCGAGCATGGTGTCTGCATTGGCAGGACAGCGACTATGAAAATCCAGATGAGCACTCGGACTCGGAGATGTACGTGATGCCCGCCGAGGAGAACGCCGACGACAGCTACGAGCCGCCTCCCACCGAGCAGGAGACCAGGACGGTCCACCCAGCCCTGCCCTTCGCCAGGGGCGAGTACGTAGGTGAGTCCACCCCCAGACCTGGGTGCCCCACCTCCCGCTTTCGCCACCTCCAAGCAGGTGATCTGGGCACTTACAGGTAACGGAGCCCAAGCTGTAGAGCTTTCCCACTCCAGGGGGAAAGGAATCTTTCCTAGATCGGGAACACTGAACACAGGCAAAAATCAATCAATTGAATGAGCACACCCTAATGGTTGCCCCCACCTTCTACAGACCCATGGGAAATCACCCCTGAGATTGGTCCCCACTTCTCTTAGGGCTCCCTAAACTCACGGTTCTGCAATTTCTTTTAAGAAGTTCATACAGAACTACAATGACCTTCAAGGACTCCAGTGTCCACCCCTCCTCCCCTCAACTCCTGCAGACAGCCCCTGAGTCTAGACTGTGGGTTTTTACGTGAGACACTCTAAGCCTGGAATTAGCCGCATAGGTTGAGTGGACACAGCTTGGGTCTGACCTTGAGGGCTGAGTGTGCGTTTTAACGTCAGTCAAGAAGTCTGTGTTCCCGTCTTGGCAGGTGTTTGGGCGCCCTAAAGGCTCAGAGAGCAAGTACGTCCATGACGGTCACAGCAATGCTAGTGTTTGTATAGAGCCTTCCTGCACGTAAAGGCCACTGTCATTAGCTGCTTCCTGACACGGCACCAGGTGGTGCTCTTTGCTTCATTCCACAGTTAATCTGTTGAGCACCTACTAGGTGCCAGAACTAGCATAGCACTAAGCATTCAGCCACGAGCCAGATGGACAGGCTCCCAGACTTTTTGCAGCTTACAGTTTAGCCTGGTGGCCTACTTAACCTTCTCAATAATCCCATGAAGGAAGGACTCACCCCCACCTGACAGCAGAGGGAAGAGAGGTTCAAAGGGTGAGCTGACCGAGCCCAGGTTCTCCGGGGCGGAGCGGGGATGCCAACCGGCCCCTCAGCCTCTGCAGCCTGGTCTTCCCGACTCTGCTCCACACGCTGCCCGCCGTACTCGGCAAACAACCTTGTTCAATCACTGCAACAGCCCTGGGGAGGAAGGGGCTGTGCCATTTTACAGACCAGGACAACGAAATTCAGGGTGGTTAAGCAGCTCGTTCAGGGCACACTCTTTAAAGCCTGTCTTCTACATTTTGCTGCTTCTGATGGGCTAAATATTACATTAGAAAATCTAAGTAAACTCCAAGAGCTGTAAATGACCCTGACAGAGTTATAGGCACAGCACGATGGATGCCCTAGTGTCTGCGCACAGCTACACCAAGAGAAAGAGAAAGAGCTTCCATGGAGGCGGCAACTGTGAAGTTAACCACACACCTTCAACGAGGAAGACTTGAGGGCCAAGGGCAGCAGCAGGCACCGCAGGAGAGAGTGGAGTCTGGGCCTGGCAGGCAGGGGCAGCTGCACCAGGCAAGCATGGGCTGTCACAGGAGGAAGCAGCAGGAAGCCAGTGACGCAATACAAAGGCCAGTCCCAGGATGGGGAATACACCAGGTTATGCCTATGCTAAGATTTTCCTAAAATGCATCAGTTCGAATCTCTGCTCGGGTCACAGACTCGCTGGGTAGACTCGATGTTGCCTAAGCCCTCCATCCTATGGCGTAGGCGATACAAGTTCCTTTGGGAGGATGCTTCTGATGAGGACATTCTTCTGAGCAGTTAAAATTTTTGCATAACATTTCACTTTACTCTTTTAAAGAATGCCCTGATTGATCATTTGTGTCTACGTAGATGCCCATGGTTCTATGCTTTCTAGATCTCCATGGCTTCCACCCAGGGAATAATGCAGAGCCTCTCTTGTGTTGTGTTTTTTTGTTTGTTTCTTTCAAGACAATCGATCAAGCCAGAGACAGTCTCCACCCTTCAGCAAGACGCTTCCCAGCAAGCCCAGCTGGCCTTCAGCCAAAGCAAGGCTCATCTCCACCCTGCCGGCCCCGACTGCTCTGCAGAAACCTCAAGTCCCACCCAAACCCAAAGGCCTCCCTGAGGATGAGGTAACGTAAATCTGTCTCGAAGGCTTCCCAGGACACAGAGCGGGCACGGGGCAGCGGCCAGGACAGTCTGGCCGATGGCCAGTCTTTCTTCTTCCATGCCCCGCTCCTCAACTGCTCCCCTCCAGCTCTCCACTGTTACCCTGAAAGGACTTTATTTTCCCTAAAAATGGCATGTGTGACCTCATTTTAAGCACCTGAATTCAGTAGAGGTGTATGGTATACTGCTAATGCTGACTCTGTACCTCACATTATCCCCTCGTCTCTTCCCCTGAGCTTCTGGTGACTCTTCTCTCTCCTGCATAAAATCTTCTTTCCCTTGTCTTCATTCTCCCTGCCCTGCCCTGTGCCCCTCCCTGTCTTTCCTCCACCTTCTTTTCTCTGTTCTCCTCCACTCTGCTCAGATGCAGAGGGCGACGTGGGACGTGAAAGGAAGACGGCCAGTCTGTAGGGAGACCCTGCACATCCTGGAGGGGAGCTCTTGCTTCCCTCTCCCTTTCCCTGTCCCCCAGGGATCCAGAGACCCACCTTCCCAGGTTGCCTGGGACCCAACTGCTGGTTAATCTCATCCATTTCCCCTGTTTTATTCTAGTTTAATTATACCTAGTTTTGTTTTATACCTAGTTTTATTCCCTGTGGAATTGCGTGCCTTTGCAAATGAGCAGGTGAACCCATTCAAACTGTGGTAGTAATGACTGAAAAGCCTCTCATGTCGTGGCTGCCAGAGGTATTTGCATATTAGGAAGAAAGACCAGCCCACAAGCATAACCATTAGGAACTCCAAGGGTAACAGTCTAAGAAACAAAACAGCATTAAAGACAACTCCCAACCATAACCAGGCATAATCTTATTGCAGCTTCTCTACGAAATAACTTGTTGCTAAATGCCTGTAGATGATAAAACCTGTGGCTTTCCTACATGTTGTGCAGTGACCTTCATTCCACCTTAATGCAATTTGTAGCCCAGCAGGAGATGGAGAAGAAATTTTACATCAAAATAGAGGCAGCATAGGCAGCATCCGGCCCAAGTTCCTACTTTGACCCTTCTAGCTGTGTGACTTTGGGCAAGCCAGACAACTTCTCTGAGTCTGTTTTATACCTCTTCCAGTTATTTTGAGAAATTAGTAAGAGAACATATATATAGCACTAGATACAGTGTTTGACACACAAGGGGCTTAATGTATGTTGGATTCCTTTCTACCATATTCTAAATTCTTTATAAAGTCCAGTTTTCTAGTTTCTTCTGAAAACTGACCTGGCAACACTGGGCCAGCTGTGGCCTCAAAGCCACTGAGCCCCGTGGCCCTTCTAGCTCGGCCGTGAATCCTTGGTCCCATTTGCCACAGTGCCCCCCGCCCACATTATGCGCGCACACATCCTCACCCTGCGTAGGACTCATCTGGCATGTTCCTCATCCTGGGACTGGCCTTTGTGTTGCATCATCGGCTTCCTACAGGATCCCAGTCACCTGCCTGCCCTTGTACGCATTTTAGTTTATGACCCCAGTGTAAGTCAGAAAGTCAGCAGACTTGGGGCAGGGGGAAGTGTGGTTCATCAGCCTCAGTCTGTCTGTCGGTCTGAGCGGTGATGCTGTCCTTCCAGGATGGGAATAGGGTGGCAGTAAGAAGCTGAGCAGGGGACAGGATGGGGAGATCAGCTGTTAGGGTTTCACTGTAAATTCTTTCAGCATTGGAATCCATATGAAGACATAAATTCAGACACAGAATGCAAATGCATACTGTGGTTATGTGGGGCTCTCCATTTCTGCAAATAACTGAGAGTGGACCCCAGTGAGGCGAGGCAGAGTTTGCTAATAGCAGCCTGGTGGACGTGGCTCAGGCTGGCCTGCACCAGTGGGAAAAGCAGTGTGGGGGAGGCTGCATTCTGGAATGGGCAGATTCAGAGTCAAGAAAAGAAAGAGGTTTAGAAACAAACAACAACAACAAAAAATAAAACAAGAACCAGAAGCCAATGTTAAGATGTAGCTGAACCATTAGATGGGAAAAGAAGTCAAGTACAAGCATAAATAAAAATGTTTAGCTCTGCTCTACTGGTTATAGGCAAAATATCGAGGTACAGGCTAAGCCAAGGGTCTGTGTTCAGATACAACATACTTGAGTCTGTGGACTAGGCTTTGAGAAGCTGGGTACTCCTCCTGGGGCTCAGCCCCTCCTTTCACAGGAACCAGCCCCCAGAAGAGAAGCTGGGCTTTGATGTGTCACTCTGGCTACTAGCTAATCCAGAGAGCTGGACCCATGGAACCAAAAGGGTCTTGTAGTCAGCCTCATCTCTGCCTTGGCTATTGGGTTAGTAAATTTCTATCCAATTCCATGAGGCTTGACTGCCCAGGCACTGGGATCACAAATACAGACAAGGAGGCGGCCCTGTCCTTCAGGAGTTCACAGTCTGACACCATGAGGCCAGCAACATAACAGAGGTGAGGACCAGGCTCCCTGTGCCACAGAGGAGCAGGTGCTCACCTCTGATTGGCAGAGACCAGGAAGACTTCTGATGATGCAGCAATTTACTCCCCTCACCTGGTAATACAACTAGAAAAGAATCAGGCAAGGATTTCCTCACAGGTCTGTCTGATTCCAAAGCCTCACCTCCTTCAGCCAGATCGTCTCTAAATATGACTGCAGAATTGAGATGTATGAGTAGAATCAACTGTGCCCCTTCCCAGGTTTGGAGGTGAAGAAAGAGAAGAGAAGCAGCAATTAAATGAAGAGAGGTAGATAAGACAGAAAGAGGAGGGGAAGGATGGGAGGCACCAGAATGCAGTGGATAAGAGTATGGGTGCTTAATTCTTGAACAGCCTGTGTTCAAATCCTGGATCTACCACTTTTTAACTATGAGACCTTGAGCTGGCTACTTAATTTCTCTGTGCCTCAGTTTCTTCATCTCAAAATGGATCTGATGGAGGTGCCTACCTTATTGGGTTGTTAGAAGAATTAAGTGAGATAATGCATGTAAAGTACTTAGAAGAGAGCCTGGAAATAAGTATTTTTTGTTTCTCCTAATACCCTACTTGGCTACCCACCAGAGAAGGTTATAAAAACCACTTTTGAGATCTGGTTATCCCATTTGTATCTTATCAATATAAAATCACTCCCTTCCCTTATTTATAGTCAATTTATTATTGACAAAGATGCCAAGACAATTCAATGGAGAAAGAATAGTTTTTTAAAAAAGCAAATGGTGCTGGGAAAACTACATATCCATGTGCAAAAGAATGAAATTGGACCCCTATCTCAGACCATACACAAAAATTAACTAAAAATGGATCATAGAACTTAAATGTTAGAGCTAAAACTATAAAACTCTTAGAAGAAAATATAATCTTTATGGCCTTGGGTTAGGCAATAGGTTCTTAGATACGACACCAAAAGCACAAGTAATACAATAAAAAATAAAGAACACTTCAAAATTTAAAAACTTTCATGCTGCAGATGATATCATGAAGGAAGTAAAAAGACAATCTACAGAATGGGAGAAAATTTTTGCAAATCATGTATCTGACAAGGGGCTTATATCTAGAACATATAAAGAACTCTTATAACAATAAAAAAGATAAACAACTCAATTAAAAATGGGCAGATTGAGACATAGAGAACAGAGGATAAAAAAAGAAAAAAAATGGGCAGAGATTTGAATAGACATTTCTCCAAAGAATATATATAAATGGCCAATAAGCCCATGAAAAGATGCTCAACATCATTAATCATCAGGGAAATGCAAATCAAATCTATAATGAGATACTACTTCACACCCCTGAGGATGGCTATAATAAAAAAGGCAGACAGTAACAAATATCAGTGAATATGTGGAGAAACTGGAACCTTCATACATTGCTGGTGGGAATGAAAAAGGGTGCAGCCACTTTGGAAAACAGTTTGGCAGTTCTTCAAACTGTTAGATATAGAGCTACCATATGACCCAAAAATTTCACCCCTAGGTATATTCCCAAGAGAAATGTGTGTCTACGTAAAAACTTGAATGGTCATAGTAGCCTTATTCATAACAGCCAAAAAAGTGAAGAAACCCAAATGACCATCAATTGATGAAGGGATAAACAAAATGTGGTATATTCATACAAAATGGAATATTATTTGGCCACAAAAAAGAATGGAGTCATGATACATATTCCAACATGGAAGAACCTTGAAAATATTATGCTAAGTGAAAGAAATCACAAAAGACTGCAGATTGTATGATTTCATTTATATACGATGTCCAGGATGGGCAAATCTGTAGAGACAGAAAGTAGGTTCATGGTTGACTAAGTCAGGGGAAGGGGTGGATGGAAAATGACTAATGGGTGCAAGGTTCCTTTTTAGAATGATAAAAATATTCTAAATTGAATTGTGGCAGTGGTTGCACAACTCTGGGAATATATTTTAAAAACACCAAATTGTATATTTTACATAGTAAAATTTAATGGTATGTGAATTATATCTCAAAAAAGCTTTTTAAAAAAACATCCCTCCCTCCCATACAATCAACCATGAATGTAGAGCATTCTCTTCATTCATTTCTACATTTCTGTTAGGCTGATTATGTGGTTCCTGTGGAAGATAACGACGAAAACTATATTCATCCTACAGAAGGCAGTTCACCCCCATCTGAAAAAGGTAAGAGTTTGTAGACTTTGTTGTTTCATTTTGTATTGAGACAGGGTCTTGCCCTGTTGCCCAGGCTAGAGTGCAGTGGCATCATCCCAACTCACTGCAACCTCAAACTTCTGGGCTCAAGCAATCCTCCTGCCTCAGCCTCCCAAAGTGCTAGGATTATGAACATGAGCCACCGCACCTGGCCAAAAGTTTGTAGTTTTAAGAACTTGAAAACTTCTAGTAGTTGATGGGGACATACAGGACTATTCAGTAGTAAGCACTGAATAGGGGCTCAAAAACGACAGTGCCCAGGCACCGCTCTCTCCTCCATGGCTACAGCATGTGCTTCTTTGGCTGGTGGGGCAGAGAGCATCGGTGAGCGACCATCTGTGTTTCATAGCCTGCCTCCCCTTCCTCCCTCCTCCATGATTTAATCCTCCCACCTCAAATCATGAAAGCACCTGGGTTGTTATCTTCAGCTACCCTCACTTAGAATGGATTCCTGATAAAACCACAAGCCACGATGTTGGCCTTGTAAATATCACACCGGGAACAATTTCTGCAGAAAAAGTGAAAGAGTAAAATAAGCTCTGCATCCTGGTTCTTTATATTCAGTGGTATCTCAGGCCTATGAGAAACATTCTTTTTTGTAAGCCTTTCATGGGATAACAAACGATAATACAAATGAATTATTTAAAAAACCAGTGCCACATACACTCAGATCAGGCACAGAACAGCACCTGTGGACGATAAAAATCCCATACAGGTGATGCCTCTTCAAGTGACATTACTCATCTAATAACACTCAACTCCAAAGTAGCAGTACTCAGTTTTTACTCTGCTGTCTTGTAGCAACCCTCTCCTCTACTCCCTAAATATCACCAACAGCTTCAAGACTCAAGCCACCCATTACCATGAAACAACAAACACATATTCCCTCCTTGTCCCTCCCTCCGAACCCATGAAATCCAAGAGCTATTGTGTGTATTGCATGTGGCAGGAGAGGTGGGACTATTAGTTTGGCTGCTCCACTATTGGGTTCAATAATCTTCTGATAGAAAGAAAAACAAACAAACAAAAAATACTCTCTTCTCCTAGACCTCCAGTTTGGCAAATGAAATTCCAAACCAGTATTCACTTTAACAAAATCTCTATCATAAAATAATTTGATCATTTTTTAACCATTAATATTTTCATTCTAAAGATGTTTCTCCTGGGAAGGCTTCTTTAATTGGTTTGTGAATTTAATAAAAGTATCTCCCATTCTTTGCAAATTCTCCAATCTGGTCATCATTTTCCCCTAAGTGTGAATGTCCCTCGTGGAATGTATTTGTAACCATTATACACACATGCACACACATATATATGTATTTGTGTGTTTTAGCTCCCGTGGTGAATAGATCAATCAAGCCAAATAACTCCTCAAAGCCAGCCTCTCCTCCAGGAACAGTTTCAGGTAAAGTATATGTGTGATTTGGATTGGTTTTAAGTCTATTTCAAATAAGATAAATAACTCAGATAAAATATGAAGAAATAATCACTTGTATTTCCGAATTTGTTAATGAATGGGAACAGAAGGCCTATCCTCATCCTTGCCTGGCGGCACCTGTGTTGAAGGGACCCTCCCCCCAGGCCCATTGGCCTCTGTTAGACAAGTCTGGTTTTCATCCTACCTCACCGGGCACCTTGCCGGCTTCTCTGTGTCCTCTCCCCTGGCTGAGGATGTCCCGAGGGCTCAGCCGCCAGCCCTCAGCTCTTCTGTCAGGACATCATGGTGGTTGCAAGCTTGGGTTTTGAGGCAGACAGATGTGGGTTGGAATCCCAGCATTTGCAGTTACCATCTGTTCCACGCTGGGCTCGTACTTCACCTCTCCAAGCATCAGATTTTCTCATCCATAAATGGAGATAATAGTCCCGGCCCCGTGACAGGAGGATTCTGAAATTGCAGATGAGAAAGTGTTCCCGCAGTGCCTGGCACACGCTAAGTGCTCAGGAGAGAGTTTTATTGTTCGTGTCTTTAGGGTTCATCCATTATTCTGGCTTCGCTTCTCATGTCTACACTGGTGATCTCTGGTGTCCACCTTGACCTGATTTCCCTTCTGAACACCCCAGCATTCCCATTGCCTCAAGCTCACCCGCTCCCTCCCCGCCTCCTGCCTTTATTCCTCTTCGTACTGGCGCCAGCCTCCAGCTACATGCCTCAGAGCACCTGTGTTCTCTCCAAAGCCTTCCGAATTTGTTCTTCCACTTTAGCTGCCACCAACCTAGTCCAGGCTTTCGTCACGCAATAGCCCAACACCTTCTTGCCTGCAGTCCACTAGCCACATCCCTGCCTCTCAGCTCTCTCCTCAGCAAGGAAGACTAAGCAGCCAAACTCCTCCAGGTGTTGCCAGTTTCATCCCACTACAAAGCTAGTTCTCACGTTTCCCCTACCCAAACCATGAAGCCCATGGTTCCCAGTTGCCTCCTATAGGCTTTGGCAACCCCTAAGGCTGAGCCAAATGCCCACACCCCACCCCATGAACAGCACAGAGGGGTGTAGGAGCTTCCTCTTTAGCATTCCCATGTGCATTCTGTTATTCTCTCTCCCTCCCCATTTCTCCCCCACTCTTCCCCCACCCCCTTCCAGAGATGAGCACAGATGACCTGGTCAGAGGAGGTGCTGAGATTATGGGTGGGTTGTTGGTGGAGAGGGTGAGCAAATCCCCAACATTGGTTGTATTTAAAGAATCATCATGAGGGCATTAGCCATTGGATGTATTACTCATTGGCTTGTTATTAACCTAGTATAGCTATATTTTAATTCTTCAAGGCCCAACTTGAGGCCTCCACCTCCAGGAAGCTTCTCCTGGTTTCTGTAGCCCTCAGAGAGCTCTTCCCACTTACATGCAGCTGGTACCTCTTCCCTGATTACTTTGTGTCTCTGTCTCATTTCCCCCAGGACATTGTGAGCTCCTTGAAGACCTTGCCTTCAATGTCACTTGCTCAGGGGGCATCGCCTGGCCCCACACTGGGCTAGATCCCCATGGCGTGCACTCCTGCAGTGCCCTGCACATGCCCTTTAGCCTCGACTTCTCCCCACCTCCCAGATTTCTGTCTTTCCTGTGAGCCCCTCAGCTCCATGTTTTGCTCACAGCCAGGGCTTAGCTCAGAATCTGGCTTATTAGCTTGTCATTAACCTCATGGAGCTATATTTTAATACTATAGGCATCAGATGAAGAAACCAAATCCAAACAAGCAAAAAGCATCCTGCTTATACGATCGTTGGATATAGGTGGGAGGAACTACAGGAAGGAGGAGGAAGTGAAATCATTTGGGAGGCGCAAACCTGAACAGTCAGTGAGTTTCTGAGTGTGCAAACGGCAGAATTTTCAGAATGAATTTTATAAAGGGAATGATCAGACTACTTGCCTGTGTCTTTGAATAACCATCCATTCTCCTTCAAATAGTCTCCTGATGGGCATCACAACAGTGCCGAGGTTGCTGGTTGGTGTTCCTGTCAAAGTGTCACACCACATCAATTGCCTCTGGTCAGTGTTGCTCTTAGCTCTTTGGTAGCCAATAAGGTACTTGTCAAGGATGACCTGGTAAAATCAGTGCAATGGCAGCCTCTGCCCTCCCCTTTGTGTTTCATACAGAGAAGCCGGTGGCAGGGACTTAGCCCAAACTCCAAAGCTAGAGGAGTGTCCTGGCTCCGACACTTGCTGGATGCCGGCTTTGAGCAAGTGTCCCTCTGTTTCTGAGGTTCTTCCCCTGAAAACTGGGAGAAATGGCACTTATGCCTGGGGTAATGTGCACATGAAATGAGTAAATGTGGATGAATCACTCATAAAACGGTAGCTCTTCGTTATTGTTCCCACACAGAATCCCTTGTTTTAACCTGCACCGATCCATGACCATTCTGGCAAACACTCTTGGGGAACAATTTTGTTTCTTCCTTTTGTCGTAAAGTTTTATTCTACACCGGGACTTTGCGACCTTGGCAGTGTTAACACTCGGGGCCAGATAATTCTTTCCCGTGGGAGCTGTCCTGTGCATTGCAGGATGTTTGGCAGCTTCCCTGCCTCTCTCTCCCTGCTAGATGCCAGTAGCATCTTCCCGATTGTGATGTGCAAAAATATCTCCAGACATGGCCAAATGTCCCTGGGTGGGCGAGCAAGTCATCCCCAGCTGAGAATCTCTGGTCTAAACAAATGGAAAAATTCAACCCCATTGTGATTTCTCTCTAAATGAGAATTTGAAGAGGATGGTGCAATCTCTGGCTGATTGGTAGCCTTTGTCAGAAGGTAAATAGGGTGTGTATTTCTGAGCTTCCTTAAGTAAATATCATTTTTTAAAGTATTGTTTTTCCTTATTTCATAAAAAAAAGGGAAGAGACTTTGAAATGTACGATTCTCTATAAATATGCTAGCTGGATTTCGGCGAAATTGGTTCTGGAGTTGTGGACTGAGATCTCTTTGCTTGGAGGAGTGTGTGCAGTGCCTGAGAGTAAGGGATGCAGCAGACACTAATGATGTAGAGTTTCTGTGACAGCTTAAAGAGAGTTGAATCCCAAGGGCTTACAATGCCGACACGGAGAATATGAATAATGAAACTTAGCAATACATTATACGTGGAACTGAAAAGAGGGTGATGCATAAAATATGTGTGGGAGGAGGAAAAACTAAGGGTAAATTGTTTTCCAAGTTGAGAAATTTTGATAAACACCAGCTAGCACAAGGCCCGCACTGTTAAACCAAACATTACCAAGTTTCTTGCTCAGTGCAATTAAAATGAAGCTGATTTTTCTTGTTTACTTTATGCTTTTGGGCATGTGTCCCTCTGTTGCATTCCCATTTTCTCCACGGGAGTATTCCAACCAAGAATTCATCTTTTCCAGAAAGCAAGGATCCTGGCAGTGAGGAGGGTACCAGGTGTGCCCCTGCTGGGGTTGTCTTCCCCTACCCAGCCATGCCCCTGGGTCTGGCTTCAGCCTCAGAGCAGCAAGAGGATCATTCTCCATCCTTCTGTGGGCATCCACAAAAGCGGTCCTCTGTTTTGCTTATCATTCCCCACATAAGGCAGAAGTAGCAGCAAGTGAATTTGGCATGCCAAATTATGCCCCAAAGTAACATTATGAGATCTTGGCTGGAAAGGAAAGTGACTTCCTGGGCTTTAAACTCAAATAGCCTTAAACCCAGCCATGCCACATGATCTGTCCAGAGCCTCAGTTTGCTCCACTTGATGTTATTTGAGACTCAGAGATGGCACATTTAAGGTATGTACCCGACACAGTGCTCGGCACCTAGAGATACTGTGATGGTCAATAACGACAATAAAACAAAGACAATAATAATCATATTTATGGAGATCCTATATGAGTCATAATTTACATATCATAAAACTCACCCATCTTATTTGTACAATTCAATGATTTTTGCAAACCATCACATTTATAGTAATGTATTATGTAACCATCACAATCCAGTTTCAGAAAATTTCCATGCCCACCCAACCCCAAAAGATCTCTTATGCTCATTTATAGCAATGCTGTTCCCACCCCCAGCCTCAGGCAACCACTGATCTGTTTCCTATTGCTATAGATTTGCCTTAGCTAGACGTTTCATGTAGATGGAATCATGTGATATATAGTCTTTTGCATCTTGCTCCTTTCACTTAGCCTAACGTTTTTAACCCTCGAATATTTTAAATCCCTTTCCAGCAATATTATTTTCTATATGACCAATTCTTTAAATTTTATGAAGTTACTCTGCTATCATATCACAATAACTCTGAATTTGGTAAATTAGGTGATGGTGTCTCTATTTCACAGAGGAGGAAACTGAGGCACAGTGGCCAATTTGGTGTCAGAAAAGTAACTAGAACTCTGTCTTCTGATGCAAGACTACAGGCTTTCCGCCAGTGCTTGTACCCTCCTCTGATCTCCAGAAATTATTTATTTGGAGGGAAAAGGAAGAAAGGAAGACATTTACAGACTCTTTGGAGATATGAAAGAAAAGGAAGCTTAGTGGGAAAGCCAGGCAGTAGGTCTGACAAAGATAATATACCCAAGTCAGTTGAGCCCTTGGCATTTAAGAAGAGGGAAAACCCCTGGGAGGAAATTCAGACTTAGACCTTCTTTCTACTTCCTTATTTTTCAGACAAGATATTTTTCCCCTTCCCTGAAATCTTCCATCGAAATCTATGAGTAGCCAAGGGTATTTTAACACTGTCAATCTTAAGTATTCAATTGGATACACCAGCTAACTAAACACAGTTGGACTCATACCACATATCCAGATGACATTTCAGTTGATTGTCACATGAAATGCAAAAATTCCAAAAGTAGCCTATTTTCCAAAATGTTTTTAAAAATCACATCCAGGTCAGCTATCATGTAAGTCAGAGCTTTAGAGCTGCACTGGAGGTAGCAGGCAGCCAGGAGACGCTGAGGGGCTGGCTTGGCTCTGGCTCCCCTCCCCGACCTGCCCTTTCTCCCAGTGGGGGTGGGGGAGGAAGACCCATCCTGCCTCTCTCACTGCCTCCCTCACAGTGACTGTCTGGCTTCCACCTTCAGGTATGGGAGGGGACGTTGGGTGCAGGGGACAAAGCCCTCTGGGTCTCCCTGTGACTTCAGAGCTGAGCTCTGGGCAGTAGCCTGCCACTTGTCCTAATCTGTCCATCTGTGTGCTGGGCAAAGGCCGTGGGAACTGGGAGATGAATGAGTGAAAATCCCCCAGATGTGAAGTTAGGTGTGTGGACTGTATTGAAGTGTGGTTTTGAAGGAGCAGTGTCTGTAGCTGTGAGTCAGGAGTGGCCACTTGGAGCCTCTCTGTCCCCAGGCACCGCTGCTGTGCACATAGTGCAGTACGCACAGATGTGAGCTCTTGGCTCCCTCCCGAAGGAACCCTTGTTGGGCTCTCGCTGGGCCCTCAGAATCAGGGGCCTCTGCTTGCCCATGGGGGTGAGGAGAAGGTCCTTCAGAAATGTTAAGGTGGAGTCCCTACTCCACATCCCACTTCTAAGCTTGTATGTTAACACTTTTAAAAAGATGTCATCACCTTTGCTCACAGGTTTTCCCTCATAACTTCAACGTGACTACCTGTACATGCTTCACTGAAAGCAACACAAATGCGCATGTACTCCTCAGCCTGTCAGAAAGGCCAGCCTCACTGTGACCCGTTTCGAGACTTGGGGACTGACTCATGTGTATGTTTGTGCAGGTCGAAACAGCGGGGCCTGGGAAACCAAATCATCTTCACCCGCTGCACCATCCCCGCTGCCAAGGGCCAGGTGAGTGCCTGTTGCAGGAAGCGGCTCTGTGAGATCTGAGGGGCTGCGGTGAGACCCCCCCTGTCCTGTTGACTTTCACTGAAGTTCTCCTTCACCCCATGGCAGGCTGCGGGCTGGACCAGGGAGGGGAGGGGACTGCTGATGTTGAAAACCAGGAGTCTTTCCTCCCAGAAGTTTTAGTCAGATCTTGAGTCCATTGTCATACCATGTTCCGCAAGGCACCTGACTATCAGAAGCTCCAGCACCTGAGTCATTTTGAGACCTTCTAGCAGGTTTCATCTTTACTTTCTACTCCTCAGCTTCTCTTTCGGGTAGTTGATGGTCTGTAAACAAGCATATGCATGTACATTTGCAGCACACACCAGGGTGCTCTATCAAAGCCACCCTGCTCAGGCTCCTTTCAAAAGTGAGAGTCAGGCCAGGCGTGGTGGCTCACACCGTAATCCCAGCAATTTGGGAGGCCCAGTGGGAGGACCACTTGAGGCCAAGAGTTCAAGATCAGCCTGGGCAACACAGCGAGACCCTTTCTTTACAAAAAATGAGAAAAATTAGCCAGGCATAGTAGTGTGAATGGTTCCAGCTACTCAGGAGGCTGAGGCAGAAGGATCACTTGAGCCCAGGAGTTGGAGGCTGCGGTGAGCTATGATCAGTCCACTGTACTCCAGCCTGGGTGACAGGGGAAGACCCTGTCTCAAAAAAGAAAAAGCGAGAGCCATTCTTTCTTATGGATGTAAAAGGGCTTTGTAAACAGCAATGTGGGTATTGCAGTGTGCTAATATTACAAACAGCAACTCCATAAAATTATGTTGGCTCAATAGGTTATTTTTAAAGCACATTTAAGTACATCTAAAGCTGGCCTGCATGGCTATAATCTTAGTTCTGCCTCTATATAAACCAAAGAATGCCTTAATTTCAGGGGTTTATGAACCAAAACTCTGCACATTTATCTCTTGGCTCAGTTACTTAGTCTCTCTGAGCCTCAGTTTCCTCATCCCTAAAATGGGATCATATTTTAAAAGGTCACTGTAAGGTTTAAATAACATTTAAATCTAACCCTAACCCAGTGCCAGGCATCATATAGGCACTCCATCATAACTGTTAGGATTCTTCTCCCATACTTCAGCTCTCAGCCAAAAACAAAGCGAGCTAACGAGCAAGAGAGGAATTTAAGATAAGCACAGATGAGAAGCATAAAACCTTAGCAACATCAGCAATATTAGATTCTAGTCTTTATTGGAACCAAGACAAACTGAGATGTTAGTGCAGACAAGCACCTTCAGGACTGCAAATCAGTGGTTTCCAGACTTGTTTTGGTCTCGGATCTTTCTGTTTGAATAAAATCCTACGGAGAAGTTGCATGGAGAGTAACCCCCTGGACACAGGACGGAAGCTGGCGTGGGAAGGCTGGGGCTACAGCCTCACCTGCTGGCCCCCTCTTGTCTCCACTCTGTCCCTGGGAAGTAGCCCCAGGGTGCTGCTGGGGAAGGGGAGGGCTGGGCAGACACACTGAGAAGACCCTGATTCTGGTCCTCATTTTACAGGTGAGGGAACTAAAGGTCAGGCTTGCCTCACAGCCAAGAGAAAGAGGCACGAGGTCGCAGAGTAATTAGTAGCAGAACTGGAACAAGAGCTCAGTTCCGCTGACTCCCTGGCAACTAGGCTCTTGCTTATCCTCAGCTAACCCCTTCCCCATCTGTCAGCGGGCTCTGTCCGAGGCTGGAACGATCATAATTAAATCCCACTTCCATCCCTCGCCTTTCTCCAAGGATCATCTTCTACACACTCGTATCACTTTCATCATTCTGGTTTAAATCTGAGAGTAAAATGATAAACAGCTCTACTGTGTCGTCGTCATTGTGATTTAACAAAGCTAATCTCTTTTTATTCCCCAGGAAAAAACCAGCTACACCACTGAAGACAGTAAGTTAATTTCGCATTTAAAAGTGCTTCATGTTTCCTGCAGTGTTTATTCTTATCCACTTATTTAAAGTCGAAAATGCTTCCAGCTCTGGTGAACACAGCAATCTTAGCAACCGAAGTTGCTGCTCAGACACTTCCAGTCCTCAGGTAGCCGGGGAGATGCTGCCTAGGAGGAGATCATCCCTCCTTGACCCTGGCAGCCTCGCGGAGTGTGCGCAGCAAGACCAGAGGGGGCCCCCGGGCCTCTGCCAGCCACCACCCTGCCTTCCTCATGGGAAACCTCTGTGTATCGGGCACACATAGGCCGGACTAAACTCAGAGTCTGGCCAAAACACGGTGAACCTGGGCAGCCCCACTATGTGAGGAAGCCCACTTGTTTCTGGTACCTACTGTGATTTAGCAAAAACACAGAAGGCAGGGCCATGAGACCAAAGCCAGAGGCCAGATGCCCACGGCACAAGCGCAAGCGCTGGTACCCTGCTGACAGAGCAGGGAGGGTCCCACCGCTCCACCATGAGACACTTCCACCTGGTTATCACTCAGTGCAAATGTTGGGCTGGGGGCTGTGTGATTGGAATTATTGTTGTGATTGAAAGAATAGCAATGCGTTAAAGAAAAGTTCTCCCAAAATATTTATTTTAACAATATTGCTCTGACTCTTTTATTTCTGCATTCTGCTCTATCGAATCTCCTTGCCCATTTTTTTT